ATATTTGTATGATATCGGGGTTAAGGCGTATCGTCTTCTAAGTATGCGAACCGCACGACGAAGCTCGGATGAAATGCTAGGGAGTAATAAAATATTATTTATATAAATTTTCTCGCCACGAGATGTGTGGTGTGGTTCTAGTCCACTTTAAGGGTCCTTGCTCGGACGAGACCCTGGGCTTCGCTGGTGTTGAAGCAGCTCGTCGGAGGCGCGTGGAGGCTCTGTGATGAATGCCTCTGTTTGCGTGGCCGTTGTTTTGGTCGTGGCCTCCCAGTCAGAGTTGGAGGACTGCGTGGCCCGCTCCTGTGTCTGCGGCTGACGATGTTGTGTGCCGCGATGCACCAGGCTGCGACGGTCCGTCTGAGTGGCCCGTTCCTGTCTGCCGCCTCTTTTAGCGCCGCTCCTGGGAGGTGTTAGCGCCGGTGGTGTTAGGAGCGCTGGCACCGTTCCTGGATAGGAGGGTGACGTGTACCTCCTTAGCCGTATGTCTCAGGTAGCAAGCAGGCTCCTTGGAGGTCGTGTGAAGGTGGCGGCCGGTATCTCTAGCGGCTCCAGCTTCCAGGGCAGTAGTGACCACTGTACTCGTCTGTTTGCTCGTTCGCTCGTTTGCTGTGTGCTCTCCTGGTCCGCTCTCTGCCGTAGGTCGGCCCCTGGTGATCGGGACGGCAGCGATCGTAAAGGCGAACCTGTAGGAGCGCTGTTTAACAGCTTTTAGCCGCTCTAGGCGGATATCAAAAGAGTCGTGCTCACGTATCTGTTGCTTGCGCTCTCGAAAGCGTGAGCAGACTGATCTGCCTTGTCGCTTCGCTACCTTATATACTGTTGTTGATGGTATTCTGATAGCGAGATTTCGGTTTGCCCAATTCGCCGCCTCGCGGTTAGGTATTTGACTACCTGAGCTGCTGTGCACGTGCTTATCGCGTGTTCTTCGTCCTGCGCGCGGCACGTGCTTAGCGCGTGGTACTTGTTGTGCGCGCGGCACGTGATTAGCGTGTGGACCTTTATTTCCCGCGCCTTATATGGCATGCGCTTATACTTGGTGGTGGATTATCCGCCACAAAGTTCATTAAAACTTACTTGTTACCTTTCATTGGTCG